ATGAGGGGATGATGTAAATGTGGTCTTTGCCTCTTTGCCTGTAACATCGTGCTCGGTTCCGAGCCGTATCGAACCCAAAGACACTCGGGTTATTTGAACAATGTGCAACGCGACTAACTGAATATAGAGTGGCAATACCCCCGTACATCCCGAGAATATTGCGAGACTCGGCTTATCTTGAGCGCGTGACCTCATCGAACTCTATGAACACGCAACTTTTGGCTTGCCGAGAAAGAACGTACAATCTGCGTTAAATGCCGAACCCAGTAGCAAGTTCTGAGTGCGCTGTGACTCCTATTGCCCCCAAAGTAAAGATAAAAACAGAAGGTACAATATTTAGGTAGATAGTCTATATATAAACACCAATCATGCAAAATCTGTATCTATATCCATCCGCCCTGGGCAGCTTTCTCCTCATGTTGAGGACGCTCAGGCTTCTTCCCAGCCTGCACCTTAGTCAAAGTCAACTTCCTTCCCAATCCACGCCCAACCTCTCCAGCCTGCGCATCAAGTGGGATAACATCATCATCCATCGAAGACCGCCGGCTGTCTTGCTCAAGACTGAGAAGAACCTCTACAGCCTGCCGATCTTCAATGACCTTCGGGTGGCGCTGGGCGAAGTACCGAGCGTACTTGTAGAGAGACCAGTAGCAGCTGAAGACGTTGATGACCGTCAAGGCAATCTTGTAGAATGTGTAGTAAAAGAAGAGGACCTTCCAGTTGACGCGCTCCTTTTTCAGGCGGAGGTGGATCTCGTTGAAGATTATCACGTTGATCAGGTACATGGCGATTGTTACACCTAATAGCATACCACAGAATCCGGGGCGCACGATGAAGGAGATTGGGAGCACGAAGGGGGCGAGGAGGTAGATGAGCGTTTCGTATACCTGTGCAACGTTAGTCGCTGATAATCTCAATTATTGGAGAAATTACAGACCTCTTGGAATACGCAAAGCTTCGCACCAAGTTCCCACCAGCCGAGCTTCCAGCTGGTGAAAATATACTTGAGATCGTAATAGATACCGATCACGAAGAAGAAATTCCACCGCTTGAATCTCTGCGAAAAGATGGTCATCTCGCCGAATCCGCCACGACTGCCACTGCCACTGATGAACACCGAAGAGGGAGTTTCAGTTTCCACAAAGACCTGGGAGCACATAGTAATGCGTCCTCCAAGACGGCGACACGCATCGCCGAAGAACCAATCTTCCGAAACCGAGAAGCCGGGGTGTTCGTGGAAAGTCGCCTTCAGGAACTCCAGGTTCCAAAGTGAGATAGCACCATGAGGGAATGTTGCACTGCCGCACTTTCCAAAGAAGTCTCGTTGAAGACCGGACATTTTATATTCGAGGTCTTGTGCCTGCTGACAGTATGTTCCCCTGGAGGAGTTTGGACCAACACTCTTGATCGTATAGCCGATACATCGAACACGGCCTTTGAGCCGATCGCTGACAATAGGGAAAACAGGAGGCAAAAGGCAATCATCGTCAATGAGAACAGCATTTTCAAAGTCCTTAGCTGCGTAGCAGCCGACAAACTGCGCGACGATCTTCGATCCAATTGGTACCCAGAGATGATTTACGCCGTATGGTTTGCAGACTTCTTCTGTGTTGTCGAGGGGTGTTTGAGAGTTTCCATTTGCAATCACGAAGATATTCTCTTTTGGGAAAATTTTCAAGGCTGCGTCCAAGGTAGGGCCGATGATACTGGCTGATTTGTAACAGGGAATAAGTAGGGCTGTTGATTTGACATTATCGGAGTTTTGTTCGAGGTCTTGTTCTTCGACAGAAGGGTTGGGGTCTTTTTCGAATAGAATGAGAAGTGGGCAGAAGGCATATCTGGGATTGGTTAGGGCAAGAAACTCGACAATTTAGGCAGATACTCACAGTGCAGCCAATCCAATCACGATGGCATATCCTCCTTGGATAACGAATTTGTTTTGGACAACCCAATATAACCACCATACTCCTCCCTTCCATAGAGGCATACCAACAAGGACAAAATAAACAAAGAGAACGAGCAGTACATAGATACTCCATTCAAATAAAAGCCGTACCCAATGTCTCCGTTGGATAGCAACACCTCTCAACTTGGCCTTTTCGTAGACCTCTTGTAGACTGTTATCACCACTGGAAATGGACTGAGAGCTGGCCTTGCTGAGTGGCTGGGGGCTGAGCATTGCATTTTGAGGTGGTGATATGGCATCCGTTTCGAGAATTGGAGCTGCGGGTTCGAAGGTGGGTTTATCAAAATAATCAAATAGTCCCCCTAAGAATCAGTTAGATTATCATATGGATCAAGAAATTGGATTCAATTACCCTGAAATGCCGGGGGATCACTGCGTCCACGGGGCCGAATTGCAGATCGTGGTCTTGCTACGGATCGTAGAGCGGATAGACTGAGGGGACGACTGGAGCTGGTCTGGCTTGATGTGGGATATGATATACGGTTGTTGTCGGGGAGGGACTGTTCCCATCGAGCCAATTCCCATGGTGAGTTGAATCTGGCAGTTGAGAGTAGTTCTTTAGGGATGAACACGTCTTCCACAATAGAATTTCTCTGGCTCTTTTGTTCAGCCATGGGAAATATATATAGGAGTACCCGTTATACTGTCGGGTAACATAAGTCAATGGATAGGTTGGACGGCAACGCGAAGTCACCCGATAAAAAGGTGAATATCTCGCATTGGGAGAGGATCTCAGGGCATTTAGATAATTTATTCAAATCAAATCAAGAACACTTCGAAGTAAAATTCTCGCCTGAGATTGTGGGCCATAGCTCGGTGACTTGGCCCCATCTATACTCAGGTTCAGGCTAACTGATGGGGCCGAAGAAGAGGAACAGATGAACCGGAGTTACAGAACGCAGTAGAAGTTGGGTCAGGAACAAGGACCCTGAGTAAACCAAAGAAATTGACAAACCCATCGTCGTTATTGGCTACTATTGCCATGTTTCACAGCATGTATTCCGTGAGGAATAACCGTAGAAAGATAATAGTAACATGGGGCTTGTTGTTTCTTCCACGATGGGGGCCAGCAGTCTGCCTCACTGATCGGGGGCCAGCCAACTGCCTTCTAGATACGACTAGCGCGAGAAGCAGATGCTTTCTATGGAAACACCTAAGAATAGTCCCAATGAAAATGGGTAGAATGGCATAGGCTCTGTGTAGGCTACCACGGACCGGCTGAATCATTTGGGTCCACCTGTTTCTTACTTCTTATAGATATTACGAAATGCTTTGAAAGGCCCCCAAACTGTAAGATTGTCGAATTGAGGGAGAATATATCTTATAGTCTGTGTAATGACTCTGAGTTGGTACACACCCTTGGACTCATAACCTCTACTGTAGGCACTTGACTTCGCAGTGGATACCTCAGAGATTTTAGTGCACCAGCCTTATGAACCACCGGTTCACCGAGCGGAAAATCAACCTACGAGAGATCTGGTCCACTGATCGACATTTGCATTTCCTCATTGAAATGAACTAAAAGTAGATGCATTGCACTCGAATCTGGCTAGAGCTTTGATGTCGTACTTGGCCGTCGTAATGGTGGAGACTGTGCCGAGCCGCGAAGCAATTGCCCGCCCTGGCATCTGGAAACAACCATCTGAAGGATAGCTTTTCAGATGAATCTAGCGTTTCAATACTGTACTCTAAACTTATGGAATCTTTGGTTACACAGCCAAAGCACATGGAGGTAAAAAACTCAAATTTAAGCTTTCGGGCCGAACGCCCTCGAAGCCTCAAACGCCGTAACTGCCGGCCACGAAATGAGCTCAAAATTAGAATGATTTTTTTTTTTTTGGCCCAGACCCGAAGACCCACGCTTAAACGGTCCATTATTTTCATTTCCAATTTCTAGTTCCGCCCTCGCTTGGAAATGATCGGTCCTCCGGCACTACGAAACTCCGGGGTGAAAGCCTAGATCATTGTTGGATAGCATAAAAGCCGTCAGTGATGCAATCAGCCTATACATGTATCTAGCTCACGGTCTTGTTTATTGGTGATAAAAGCCTGATTTAGATGAGAATCCAATATAAATGAATCTAGGGCGTTGGTTCCGTGGTACTGAGCTCAAATTCAGTGCAACTGCTGGGTCTGTACAATCTTGCATCCTGCACTATTTGACAATTTTGCTCGAAGTTAAGACTAGACAGTTAGTGGTCACTCGGATTCGATCCATGGTACTAAGCACTACAGTGGAGAGTAAATAATATTTCCAAGGAGAAGTGTCAAAACAAGATTAAGCCTCGCTATATTATCTGTCGATTCCAAGAGATACGGTACGCGCTAGTTCTAAGATAGACCAATGGCATAGAATGAGTGTAATTGCTAGAAACTGTCTTAGGGGCCGAATATTGGGCTATTGTGGGCTTAGCAAGCATGAAACGCTTGGCAAGCAGCCTTGGCAAGAAGCTATCTATAACGTAGAAAATGAGTAAGCAGATGGGTGCTGTAAAACTCGGCAAGCTAGTAATGTAAGGGCCCCTCTTTATTCGACAAAAGATGATTCTTAGATGACTAGAGACGGCACCCGAGAGATTGCTCCCGGGCTCATAACCTATTATATTTCAGAGGAAATGAATTGATTGTTATTTATTCAGAGGGAAACATGAGGCTATCTACACAAAGAGAAGATCAAGTTGATTTCCAATCAACTTGGTTCTTCGTATAGATACCTCGGTATTAATTCCGACGGTTCGGCTTCGTTCCTGGTCTGCACCAGCCTCATATCACAACAGAATGAATACAACTATGCTTAGGTGGGTTGCAGCAAAGAACGAAAATATGTATAAAAAAACTCATTATTATACGCCTTCTACGCGCACTAGTATCTTGCATTTTTGACGGGATTCGCAACTCATTATTCCCTTTACTGCGTTACAAATACTGCCTCCATAGGTCTTTGATTCAGTCCCTTCTATGTACTCAGTTTCTTTTTCTCGACATGGTTACATCTTAGTTGTCATAGATTCCGATAAACATATTGATCCCTTCTTCAGTTTCCAATACAAACCCAGTATCCCAGCCACAATGACTGGCAATTGCCACCAACGCTCGGATTCCACCAAATGAACTGACTCAACGAGATATCAGCTGCAGATGCAATGGTCCCACACTGATCCCCATCAACAACCTTGTGGAACCTCTTACATGAGGTTGTCATCTCGGGTTGGATTGGGGTGGGCGTAGCGATTCCATTACCGGCAGTGGTGGTTGCCTTCGTAGTAGTGGTTGTCTTCGTGGTAGTGGTGCCAATGGGGTTAACACCCACGATCTTCACACACACGTAGTAGCCATTCCAGAGCGTCTCGCAACCTTTGCCTACAGTGGGGTTCCATGAGTAGAACTGCGAGAGGCTTATTCCGCTGTTGCGTGCAATTGTGGTGCACTGGTCGTTCTCAACGACCAAGTGGAATTTGTCGCAGTTGTCCACCATGCCATCTTGGATAGGGGTTGGAGTGGCAATACCGTTTGTTGGCTTTGTTGCTGTGGTGGTAGCCTTGGTTGTGGTGGGTGCGGTGCCGATGCGTGATACACAGACATAGTAGCCAAGCCATAAGGCGGAGCAGTTTGTTTCCTAATGCGGGGTTAAGCGCGTAGAATTGGGCGGGAGTGATGCCATTTGCTTTGGCAATTGAGTCACAGCCCTCGCCGTCGACTACCATGTGGAATTTGTTGCAGTCGGCGATCATGCCAGGCTGGATGGGCTGTGGCGTGGTGATACCATTGGTTGGAGTTGCAGAGGTTGTGGTAGCCTTGGTAGTGGTCGGGCTAGGGGTCCAGCCGGTTACACCGGTGCATATCTGCTCAAATGGTTAACATTACTCCGTGGAAATTGAACTCGCCAGCCTTACATATGTCTCTTCCCAAAGAGCCTGGCACTGGGACCCAATGGCGGGATTCCATGCAACGAGGTTGGCCAAGGTAAGGCCGGGATACTTAGCCAGGTAGACGCTGCATGTGTCTCCGGATTGAACGAGATCCCATTTGTTGCAGTTGGCCACTTGTCCTGACTGGGTAGGACCCGGGGCACCACCAGTTGTAGTGGTACTTGAAGTAGTGGTGGTTGAAGTGGTTGTGACTCTAGCAGTAGTTGTGCCAGTACCAGGAGCTGGTTCTCCGTATGCTTCGACACAGTAAGACTTGCCGGAAACATATCCTGCGCAGTTGCTGCCGACGGATGGGTTCTGGAGAGATCAGACATTAGACATAGATAGTTCAGAGGAAGCAAGTTACCCATCGGACAAAGTCTGCCATCGATATAGCCCAATAGGCAGGGATATCAGCGCACTTGCTTGAACCATCATCGTCTACCCACCATGTGCAGTATGGAGTAGTGTTTGGATCATAGGGTAGTTGGGGAATCTCGTCGCGGCGGACGACATTTGGCCTGGCAAAAGCTGTTGACAGAGTCAAGCCCATGGCCAGAAGATACAGGTTAGACGAAAGCATAATGGTTGATGCTCTGAGTGATTATCCTGTAGGGAAATCCTTCTGTCATGGTCACCTGCTGTGATTTATACGCTTATGGATAACGCTTATGGACATCGCCGTTGTTCAAGTCTTCTCCACTGAATCACACATGGCTGAACTATCGATTAATTTTCTTGAACGAGGTTAGTAGAGTCAATTACAGAGCCAGATGTCGTTTGTGTACCGAGTACGGAGTACAGAATTGACACAACACTAAAGAGAGTGAGACCTGACATCTAACTCCGGCGCTAATAGGAACGATGTAACCGTTCCTTTGAGAGAAATAGATTCCACCTTTGGCCCAGAAGATCACGCAGGTTAGATGAGCCGAGAGATGATAAGAAAGAGAAGAGAGCGGCCCCCATACCAAGCCCTGCGAGGCCAGAAAGATGGCTTGGCAGCCCCTGGCCCCCGGGGGGTCTGTGGCTTAACCCTCCTTAACCTCGGGTTCTCAGAACCTTACACTGTGACCCTTTCAAGGTTTTTATTACTACAATGATATTGTTCGGTCCGTCCCGGATGTACCGATAGACTGCCGGCCCACAAACCCCAACCGA